TTCTAAATACATATCCACCTCTTTTATTTTGGGTTAGGGATTTTCCACTCTTTTCCATTTTTTGGAACCTTTTTTCACTCCCACTTTCTCACCATACTTCTGAGGGGCGTGAACTGCCCTCCCCACTTCTTCGTAGTAGCTTCTCATAATTATACTCTAGATGGGGCGTCGACAGCCTTCTTCGTGCGTCACATGATCACTCTCGGCCAATGAGGTCTTGGTCGGGTATCTTTCCTCCTCCTTCGTGCGTCACGTGATCATCACTTGACCAATGATGTCTTAGTCGGGCATGAACAATGCGTGGCTTTGTTTCGGAAAAAAAAGAAAAAAAAATATCTTGCTTAACTAAAAAAAAATATCGCCGTTATCATTTCTCTAGCCACGAACGGACAATATGACAACTCTTGTTTTACACGTGGTGTTTGTCAGGTATTTTATCGCTAACTTATCAAGATGGGTGGTTTTCTTAACATGGCCTCAAAAAAGAAATATCCCCAAAGTTTTCAGTCAGTCTGTCGCCTCCCACGAAGAAAGAAAAACACTTCTGGGTCCCCATTCATTTTCCCTCGGTACATATTCCTGATAACATAATTTTATTATCGCAGGCCAAAGTTGTTTCGTCGAAAAAAATTCAGTCAGCGGCACTGCTTGTGTGGCATTTAATTTTTCATATCTGTCCAAAGTCCATTTTAGTGGCCTGTTTCTCGTCACTTGTCGAAATAACATTTTCACTTGAATTTTTTCCTGGCCAGTCGACTAGATAACACAGCCGTTATCAAAACACATCCGATTCTTTCTTTCTTTCCCTTTCTTTTTTTTTTACTCAGAAATTCCCTGTCATTGTAATGACACCCTTTTTCATTTGTTACTTATCAATATTTTCATTGTCTCTTAGCCGTGTGTGTGGCTGCTTATCACCTACGATTCGTCTCGCGTTTCTTTCTGCCTTCTTTTCTTTCTCTTCCTTTCCCTGCCTCGTAAATGGTGCCAAATATATATATATATATATATATATATATATATATATATATATATATATATATGGATATTGGTTGTATTTGGGTAGTGACTTTTGATTTATGCACAGTAATTAAAAGATAAAATTTGGAACGATCTCTCACGTGAATACCGGATATTTAATATATATCATTAAACTGACGACATAACAAACAAGAAAGAATTAAAAAAAAAAAATGGATAGAGACGCTGGCTGAAAATGTTTAGATACGCGAAGTTATAATTACAAATATGAATGAGAAATCAAGAGAAAAAAACAAAAATATAACCTTTGAAATATTGAAAAACAAAAGATCAAAAAAGAAATGACGTTGCTTTTTAAATCAAACGCCCAAATCGAACGGAAGCGTTTATGGAAACACCCACGCGTAGATGGCTCAGTAATCGCTTGACAAGGGAACTGACTTTAGTTACGTAACCTCCATAATCTTATAACCCTAACTTTTTCTTTATTATTCTTACAATCATATCACAACTCATACCTCTACTATATATATATATATATATATATATATATTAAAGACATTTTTATGTTTTTAACGTTGTTATTTTATAGATACAAGTATTTAAGCAAATGCTCTGTTTATGATAAACAGTATTAAATAACATTTACCGGCCTGAATGTCCGAGAAATTTTCATAGAAAATATTCGTTCCTTGACAGGATTCGAACCTGCATCCTATACGGAACCGTCATATACGCTGACGTGCCTTACCTCTAGGCTACAAAGAACCGTTCGGTAGACAAGGTCGAATTTACTGCTTATAAACGCAGACATGACATACTTATTGAGCTTGAGTAAATGGATGGTTTTAGGAGAAATAACAGAAATAAAACATATATTAAGAGCTACAAATGACAGGATGTCGTGGAGAACCATAATCACCTATGTCATATGACACGGCACACAAAGCTCCATTTTCAGCCTAATCTGGCTTTTGTAAAGGTTGAAAATGACAGAAGGAGGGAGTTACTTACTAGAGAGGTACAGGGAACTGACTACTTTTCCTGTATACTGAGTGATGGATCCTATGTACGGGGTCTGGAATAGAGTGGTTGATGATGACATTCAAGGCAAAATTATGCAATGTCTTGTCGATTCCTGTTGCGCCGGGGATATTGAGATTACCCAGTCCCTCCTCTCCGAAGTTCCTCCGTCCACTGGTAAAATCAAAGACCTCTGAGTTTCAGCGACTAAGCCCAGGCTGGCGACAGGCCGATGGGTACTTGGTACAGGTGGGTTCAAGAGAAGGGTTCCCACTCACCGGACTAGTCTGGAAACACAGTTCAGTCGGCAGGGTGATGCTGTTAACCGGGGTGTAGCCGTCACAGTGCCCATGATATTTCTTGGTGTCCTGTTTGAGAGTTGGATGTAGGCCGTGAACCAGTACATTCTCCGCATCCTAATTCACCTGGTTGAAGCAGGATCGACCGCTTCGTTGTATGCTACTACCACTTACGGTGCACCTATAAAACAGACATATATATATATATATATATATATATATATATATATATATATATATATATATATATATATATATATATTACAGTGGATATCGGAGTAAGCCAATTCGTCATCAAATCATTCGTTGGAGTTCTTAAGACGCAGAAAAAGTACTAGCAGCATGGCCCAGCGTTGCCCGTGCTTGATTCAAAATTCGTCCGACTCATACAGCAATCGCTATCACTTGACTTAAAATATTTTTGCCCTTCCTTGCCTTTAAAAGGAGCGCCCTTTGCCGTGCTGATGTTGCTACATGCCTTATTTCTTGTCTATCTCACACTGCGAATTTTTTCTAAGCTCTATACTAAACATTAAATCTGTTACGAAAAAAGAACTAAACAGAATGAACACAAAACGATCAGCTTTAAAAAAGGACTCGTAACTGAAAAAACCGAATGAAAAAAGAATGTTAACAACAAATACTTTTTCACACCAAACTCAGTTCTGCGGAATCAGAATCAACGTTGAGTTTAAGCAAGCGAATGGGCCAATTGGAGTAAAGTGCCATGCAGATTTAAATTTTTCCCACTTGTGACGAATGCAGCTATCGATATTTTTTGCATGCTAGCATGCTAGTTAACATTCGTGTCAGTCAGATGTTGGCTCTCACGCTGGCCAATAGAATCTTCCTGCCTATTCGTGGCAGCCAGTTATAGGCTCTCAATCTGGCCAGTACAAAATGGCCGCAAACTACATGAAAACTGCCGTAGAAGCATCAAATAATCGATTATTTCTACTATCGATAAAAGTTTGGAAATGCAAAGTTGGTCTTGCCTTCCCGCTAACTTAGAGAATGTGCATGTAAATTTTGGTGTAACTCCGTCGAAAATTGCGGCCGTGCATTCGTTACACACGCACACACACACACACACACACACACACATCCTGCCTTTTATAGATAGAGATATTTATACGATCAGTAGCTTTTAGCGTTTCTTTATAAGTTTGGTCGAAATCAGCCCTACTCACGTCAACGTAAAGCCGCATAAAACAAAAAAAAATACCTTCTCTGTAGGTAAGTACTTCTCTCTAAATCTAACCTACCATAGTCACGTGATCTTACAGTATAACTTTTCTCGAATGCTGCAAAATGCTTTGATGATAGCAAATTTTATCTAATGAAAACCAGATTGAAGATTTCGCCAAATAATTTTTCGCATCAAAACCAGTTGAATTTTACTGAAAAGTTATCGACAAACTGCTTGATAAATGGATATTGGCCCTTATCAGCCTTTGCAAATTATGATGAAGAAATAATTCAATAAGAAGTAATTGTGCTTTATTTATTGAAGAATTTCAAGTCGATAAACGAAACAGAAATTATTTATGACGCAACCTAATACACCGATATCCGTAGATAGAAAGGATAGAAAAGAGGATACGAATGATAGAAAAGAGTATATAAAGAATAAAAAAGAGGATTGAAAGGATATAAAAGAGGATAGGGAGGATAGTAAAGAGGATAGAAAGGATAGGAAAGATTAAAGGGTGGAAAAGATTATAGAGAGGATAGAAAAGAGTATAAGAAAGATAGAAAAGGGGATAAAATGGATAGAAAAGTAAATACAAACGATAGAAAAAAGGATTGACAAGATAGAAAACGGGATAGAAACGATAGAAAACGGGATAGAAAGGATAGAAAGGAGGATAGGAAGGATAGAAAAGATGATAAAATGTATAAAAAAGATGATAGAAAGGATAGAAAACAGGATAAGAAGGATAGAAAAGATAATAGAAATGATAGAAAAGAGGATAGAATGGATAGAAAAGAGAATACAAACGATAGAAAAGAGTATTGAAAAATTAGAAAACAGAATAGTAACGACAGAAAACAGGATAGGGAGAATAGAAAGGAGAATAGAAAAGATGACAAAATTAATAGAAGAGAGGATGGAAATGATGATAGCGAGGAGAGAAAAGAGAATAAGAAGGATAGAAAAGAGTAGAGAAGTGACAGTAAAGAGGATAGAAAGGGTAGAAAAGATAATAGGAGAGAAAAGATGATATGAGGACAAAAAAGAGGATAGGAAGGACAGAAAAAGTGATAGGGAGGATAGAAAATAGTATTTTCAGGTTAGAAAAGAGGATAGAAA